TTAATCAAAACTGAAAATTAAATGTTTTGTCTCTTCGTTTCTTCTACAGTTGGTGCCATACCTAACAACAGATTTTGTTATTGAGGGATGGCTGTCGAAAACAGGTCCAAGTGAGAGAGATGCCTACAGAAAAAGGTGGTTTATCCTGGATGACCGCAAATTGATGTACCACGAAGGGCCAATGGTAAGTTTCTTTTGTTTTCATCTGTATGTCTTTCTTATCTCTCTATCTTGTTCAAGGTCTCTGTCTTCGTCTCTTTGTCTTTGTTCCTATCGCTGTTTCTGTCTCTTTGTCTTTGTTCCTATCGCTGTTTCTGTCTCTTTGTCTTTGTTCCTATCGCTGTTTCTGTCTCTTTGTCTTTGCCCCTATTTCTTTTTCTCTCTTCATCTCTGTGTCTCTGTCTCTGTTCTCTATCTGTTTCTACCTGGACCTACAACCCCTCCAAAACTAGTAGTCCAGTCTAGCAATATCTGTGCTTATATGAGGATTATCATTGGTAATTGGAAGTGCTATAGGTTTACATGGAAATTTAATAGTGTTACTACGGAGTGTGTTAAATTCTGCACTAATACACATTTGTATAAGTTTTAGGCCTTTATCATTATTAGATTTATTATAATGTAAAATTTTGTATGTATCTAGGTTAGATGAAGTCAGATCTGCCACAGTTTACCCAAATACAACACATCAAATTTCCCCATAGTTTGGCAAGAGTATCAAAAATGTCTTTTTTCTTTTGAAGGATGCCTATCCTCGAGGAGAAATCTTCCTGGGCCACAAGGACGACAACTACAGTATTAAAGAAGGTGCTCCAAGGGGCTGTAAAGACCAAGATTTCTCCTTCTCCCTGACCACCCCTGAACGGACCTACGTTATGTCAGCGCCGACGTCGGACGAGAGAGCGAGATGGATACAGGCAATAAACACAGTCCTTGAACGAGTGCTTAGACCTCAAGACAACCAGAGTAAGATGGCCATTTCAGAGAATAGGAAGTCTGCACGCAACTCACGGCATTCGTGGTTGAGCTTCTTGTAGGAATAGCACCGGCAACTCTGTAACCCATTCATAACCCTAGTTTATTTTAAGTTCAAAAGTTGTAGCAAAGAAAATGGAAATGGGTAGTGTAAACACAACACAAGATTTATCAATTGATTCCAGTATTCACCAGTTGTAATGAGAATACAAGAACCGTGGATCAAAATGTTTTTTACTCTTATATACATGACAATCATTTTTTTGTTTATTACTATTGATAAATGTATGCCAGGCAGTCTCATGGTTGGGCTTGGCAACACACTTCCACAGGTATCACCATGGCAGTATATAAAGGGGTTTCATTATTTCAGAGGTGCTCCCCCCCCTTTTTACTATCTGTCAGGAGATAGTTTTAAAGAATTAATTGATTTCCCCCCCCCCCCCTCAAAAATGCCTGCTTCTTGGATTATACTTTCCCCTTCTAAAGGTACAGAAGTTATATATAAGTTTAAAAATTTATTCTATATGGCATATTACAATGGTGCACTACATCATTAAGGCCCAAATTGGTGGGGGAGGGGAATATCCATATGGATTTTATTGCAAGTGAATGATTTGATATGAGGAAGAACTTCTTGAAGTGATTTTTTTTTCTCTTTGAAGTAGAAAGGTATGCAAGTATTTAAGAGAACTCTTTCCATTTCCATTTTCTTCTGCAACATGTTTATACTAACCAGTCTAGTGGTGTGGAAAAAAATAAAAAAATAAGTCCAGCTTTTTGAACTGATAATACCTACAATAATAAAGGGGAAAAGATTGCATTTCAAAAGAGTGCTCAAGGAAAGTCTGAATATTAAATGCATTTGATTATTGTAGGCGTTATCATTCACTATGGATGTGTTTAGCACCCGAAGGCTTATTAATCTTAAACTGTCGCTGTTGACCTTTTTATTTTGTGTATTTGGAACTAAATAGCATGACTAGTTGTAGTTTAATGTTGGTGGAGGAAGGAGGAGGAATTCCTGGAGGGAAACTAGTGTGCATTATATTTGCATTGCCTTTTGTACATAGTGCATGAAAGAGATGATAACTTGCTTATTTTTTATATTGTTCTGTAAGTTCAGTCCTTTAGGCAAAGTTGGCATGAATACAGCTCAGTAATAAGTATTTAATTGTTTAATTATAGTATTATGTGCATGAATTTTTTTTTCTGCTTTTTTTGTTGTTTTTTATAGTTGGTATAAATGAAGAAATAGATACATTTACAAAATAACATATGCAGATCACAGGCAAGAACAAAAGTAGATTTGAAAAAGATTATATATAGAATAGAAAAGTTATGGGAAATAATTATCATCAGAACTTCTATATACAGAAACATGTATACACATAAATGTACTCACAAGTGTGCATATACACATGAATGTGAGAACACATACACTTGTTTGCATACGCTCAGATATGCACACACACACATGCGCATGTACACGCAGATGCACACGCAGATGCACATGCTCACTTAT